CGCAGGCTGTTTCTCTGCTTGGTTCCGGAAGCTTCTTGCTCCTTTCCTCCAGACTGTTAACTGCTTATCTTCAGCTTCCCACACACCTACTGTTCTATTGGGGGGAGGGGCTCCTCAGGCAATTGACTAAAGATATCACGAAAAGCTAGTGAATTGTTGCTTATTTAATTCTTATTACTGTATTTTCATTCATAGGGAAAGGCTCTTGTGAGATTTTCTGGCCGTAGTGTGAAAAAACCGCACTCTTTTCCCCACTATTTCCTGGGCTGACTCAGTTTGAGGGCAATCTTTCTTTCTTATACACCAGTGGGATTGGCGAGAGAGGAATTGCTACTAGACATTTTCTTTTTAAAGAAAGATATCCTTGTTCTGGTCAAGTCACATAGGCTCTGGTATTGCCTTTTAGCTTGTTTTTTCAGGCAGCGCCTCTGCGAAAGCAGTTTGAGACAGCGAGAATTCCCGGAGGCCTCCCTGTCACTGGGACCGTTACAGGCAGCTGGGTGTGGCGGGTTCCACTTTATGTGTCTTGGCTTTACTGTTGCCCAAAATAACTTGCTCGGGGCCTGCTAATGGGCAAGGGATTGGTTAACATTGGTGTGCAGAGTCCCTGCTCCTCCAGAGCAGCCAACAAATTAGCACCTTGTCTGGAGCCATGCCTAAAAGATTGGGAAACGCTTCACGATGGAGCTTTTAAGCAGAAATCTCAGATTGCTAAAAAAAAATGTCAGCTGTGTCAAGAATTGAAAAATGGAGAGGAAGGGCTTTGAGCTCACCAATAAACGTTGTAGTTGTTATTGTTGTTGTTGACAGGCACAGTCAAAATTATAAAAACATGAACTGGTATTATATAACAGAATAACAGATAAAAGTTTTAACGAAAAACCTAAGTATCTGTTAAATATCGGCGCAGTATGTATGCTGTTCCTAATATTTCCATTTTTTTGTAGCTCTGATTTCTGAGAACTGCAACTGCTTATAGTACTGTATGAAATTTCTTGATATTGTTCCCAAAGCCGCAATGACTGCCGCGACCACTGAAGTGTGTTTCTTCCAGAGGCGAGATGTTTCAATTGCAGGTCTCTGTACTATGTTAGTTTTTCCAGTTCTTTATTTTCAACTCTGACATCCCCTGCAGCAGCAGCAGCAGCAGCAGCAGCAGCAGCAGCAGCAGCAACAACAACATGTTGTTGTTGTTGTTGTTGTTGTTGTTGTTGTTGTTGTTGTTGTTTATTGGGATGGACGTCTTGGGAGGTCCAGCACCAGGTGGCCATTTTTTTGTCCCTGCTATAGATGAACCTTAACTATAAACCATTTTATTTGTGCCCGCTCTGGTGGGATACATTTTGGGGTCTTATGAAAGCACCTGTTCCTTCGGGGTCACCTAAGGAACAGTTCAAGCAGGGATAGCCACTTAGCTTATATAAATCTTTATGGAGGCAGAAGTAACCTGAGCAGACATTCCTTGAACAGTATTTTAAAATCTCTCTCACTTTGTTATTAGTATCCACCAAGAGAGTCAGTTCTGCTCCCTTGTGACTGAGAAAGTGTGTGTCTCCATTAGCAAACCCCTCAATGAATATGTCAATATGATCCAATATCAGGGGTTGGCAAGGTTTTATTGTTTAGTCCATTTAAAGTATTTATTTTACTGCTGTTTCTGCCCACTAGGACACCCAGAATGATGTATTATAAATAAGGTGAAACTGTTATGTTAGGCATCCTTCAGTCTCAAGAGACTATGTTAACATACTCTGAATAGAGGACTTGGAACAGTGTCTAGTGTGGCTGAGAAGGCTAATTCGAGAGTGATAATCCATTCCACACTGAAGACAAATACAATCTGTCCCCTGTCCAGCTCCCTGATTTTGCTCGTTTGGGGACTGCCTCTTTGCCTCGGCCTGCTGGACAAGAGTCTCTTCAAAATGGGAGAGGCCCTGATGCACCACCTGCCTCCAGGCTGAACGCTCAGAGGTCAAGGTTCGCCATATCTGTTGAGGTCCATTCCTAAGGCCTTCAGGTCCCACTTGCAGATGTCCTTGTATCGCAGCTGTGGTCTTCCTCTGGGGTGCTCTCCCTGCACTAATTCTCCATACAGGAGATCTTTTGGAACCCAACCATCAGTCATTCTCATGACATGCCCGAGCCAGCATAGACGTCGCTGTTTCAAGTAAGGTATACATGGTAAAACAGTGTTTCATTAAAAAAAACATTGTTTTAGGGCTGATTTAGAAGCCTATTTTAAAACCCATTTTAAGTACCAAGTTCAACAGAGGAGACCCAACTTAACTTCCCTTAGGGAAGACTTCCACAGGTGAGGTGCTAGTAATACAGCAAGACCAGTCTTGTGTATTTAGCAATCTAGTTTTTCAGGGGGATGGGACATACAACAAGACCTCTGTTGGGGATTTCAAATTGGGGTTCATACTTCTGACCTGCTGAGAGCCCCTTGGCCATCCTGTCTTTCTTCTCTGTGTTGCCATCCTCCTCTTGATCACCTCTTCCTTCCCACTAACCCAAAGGGGTGATAAAGCAGGTGGTGCGATGAGGTGAGGAGCAGGTGTTGTAAATGGTTTGTGTGCTTGTTCCTTCCTTAGAAATTTTAAGTGAATGGAAAAAAAGAAAGCAGGAGGAAGAGCACCTGTTGCTTGTTGCAGCAGTGGAGAGGTGAGGAAGGCCACACATGGAAGGGTATCTCACCGAAGGACACCCTTGGATACAGCCCTAATAATAGGATGTTTTCAGATGCTTCTTCAGGAAGCTTTAGAAAGCCACATTATTGGTGTCTCAAAAAATCACCCTCTTAACTACCTGATAAAATGAGGAGTCTAGCATTACGAGCATTGTCCCAAATTCTTGAAGAGTCTTCTGGTTGACTTCAGAACAGCGTTAACACTGGAATGGGGTGGATGAGCCCTCCATGGTAAAAGAATAAGTAATAACACCCACCCACACTCAGAATGTGGAAATAACTAGTTATACTTATCTGCTACTAGTTACTAATAGGTTACAAGTTACTTTTATGTGAAAGGGTGAACACCTGATTTACTCAGCTCTAAATAGTCATACTGATTTCACCATCTGCATTTCACACAGCAGTTTCACCATCTCCATTTCATACACAGAATCTTTGCAGTCTTGCAATGCACCCTTCTGTTTACATGATACAAGTGGGGATGGAAAAACTAAGATAGTGATGTTGGCCTTAGGCAAATATGAGAAGAATTATCCTAAGTATACCTGTCCGTCTGTGTTTGAATACACATGCACACCTGCCTGCCTTAAGGCTTTACTCCATGTAGCTGATGATGTTTGCTAGAGTCTGTTAAAGTTTACGATAAATAAAACTTGTTAATCTTTGGGGTGTCCCAAGATTCATTGTTGTTTTTATTTCTGATATACATCACTTGAACATCTAAGGAGAACATCCAGATTTTTTTTTCTAAGCTACCCTTCCTAAGCTAAGAAACGAAAACGAAACCTTCCAGATGTTGGTGGCAGCCAGTTTTCTCTCTACATCTGAAAGAAGCAACATCTGTGCAGCAGTGCCAGGCCTCAATTTGATTGTCTGCAAGAACATTATTTTGTAATTTCCAGAAGGATATTCATGGGTTGCTATTGCAGTCAAAATAACAGAGCCTTGTGGCACATTAACAATTTAAGAAATTCATTAGGGCATAAGCTGCTCTCGTCTACACTCCCATGAAAAACAGCCCACAAAATTCAAGCCACAAGAAATCAGTTAATGGTTAAGGTGCCACAAGATTGTTGCTTCTTTTATAATTCCCCACCTTCTATACTCTGTATCACCATCACTGTTATTAAAAGAAACCGGAGCATGGCGTAGCATACTGATGTGTAACATGTCTAAAATACAACCTTCTATTGTCTCTTTCTTGGCTGTTCTTTGACATTATTTTTGATCAGAACATGGTAGGTGCTGGTCCAAGCTGATCTCCAGATCTGTGCAAGGGGCTTCATTGAGAGAGCTATCTTTTGTAAAGACATAAGAAGTTGATAATAATGGCTCCCAATGTCCCTTTGATCTTATTTATGGCCTTAAGCTCAAATTCAGTTCTTCAATAAACCTGTTTATGAATGTGGGATATTGTGCCTCTGTATCCATGAATCAAAACAGCAAGAAATGGCATAATAGGCATGATATTGTGCAGCAATATCAAGCCATTTCCTAAGTCAATTAGTTTTCCGTACCATAAATGTTTCCATTATTCTTGTATTGAATAACACTATTGACACAAAGCATATTTAATCACATAAAACTCTTTAATTGTGTGCCATGCCTGTAATAACAACCAGAGCTCCATGTAACTTATCACCTTGTAATAATATCGCCTCCTTATTTGGAGGAGACTACCATGAAGTGGTAATTTTTTTGATGTTAGGAGAGAACACTCCCAAAACTTCAATGCACTGTACTGTTTTGTTACATATTGGGTATCGAGGAGACTACCATGAAGTGGTAATTTTTTGGTGTTAAGAAAGAGCACTCCCAAAACTTCAATGCACCGTACTGTTTTGTTACATATCAGGTATCTTGTGGCGCCAAAGGTTGGGAGTTCAATTCCTCACTGTGCCTCCCTGACAGGGGCTGGACTTAGTGATCCATAGGGTCATTTCCAGATCTGTAGTTCTAAGATTATATTATCATTATTTTAGTTAACAGGGTCCCTTCTAGATCTGCAGTTCTAAGATTATATTATTATTTTAGCTAACGTTCTCTGTTATTTTCAAATTTTGCTTAAATATGTTGCTTGGTAATGGCTTTGTGTTTATAGCTACCTTCTAGTGAGAGATTGTGAGGGATTCTTCATGGGTGGAGGGGCAGAATTGCTGACTCATTCTTTGCTGTGAATTCAGAGCCCTATATTTAAAAAGGAAGGAGGGGGAAAAACGAAACACTACCTTGCTTGCTGCAAATTTGCTGGGAAGATCTCTCAGCCCCTTATTGATTTCTGTATTTTGCTTTTACGTTGTTTCCCTAGATCTCAAAGTCCAAGCAAGAAGGATCTTCCCCAGCATGTTTAGTGCTGCAGCCAAGACAGTCAGATGGAATTCCCCGGGTTAGCATCCATTTAACAGACAGTTCATGTTCGGAGGAGATGGATTTAGCTGATGAAATCTCCTTCATAAACAGCGCTGCCTTCTTCACCAGGTTAGTGTTCCTCCTTTTTGGCATCACAGTCAATATGTAGCTTTTGAAGCATCTTTTCTCAGGGTTGCTGTGTTTTGCTGGGGGCACAACGATTTACAGCATTGCAGCAGAGCCTGTAAGTGCTGCACGAAATTTGAGTGTTGAGCAGCCAGGCATGTCCACGTTAAATGAGGCACTTGCTGTGTTTATCATTGCTATTGAAAAGGATGTTTTGCTTATATGTATGCTTAAGACTTTGGAATGCCAACAGCAGGCCATAAAAACATGCTCTGTATAAACCTATGATGTAAGATTGCTATCATCAAAATTAATGATCTTAGGAAGTCAAAGCTATTTCTACAGTAAGCAAGATTTTGTGTTCCTTGAAGTAGCAAGCAGCTGTTTTCAGTGTGTCTGTAAGGGAGCTAGAAATAAGGCTTATGATGAAACAAAATTGGGTTGTAACTTGTTTGCACCCGATATTTATTACAGCACTTACAATGTAAGGTGGAAAAATACTAATCGTTTTTTAACTACTAATTCCTGTTTGCATGCTTTAACTGTACTAATACAAGTAGCAGCATCTTGTGGGGTAGAACCTGATATTCTACCCAAGGAGTCATATGAAACATACTGTATAGTGAAAAAAGCTTATAATACAAAGGAGAGTGGTGCATGAGGTGGGCAGATAAGGAGGCATTAGATGCAGGAAAGCAGAAACAAATAGGTAGGGAAAGCATCAGTTAGCATGCTGATTGGGAAACGCCTTGGCCAGACATGGAATCATTCAGTTGGGTCAAGTCAGTGAGAGCCAGTGTGTTTGTCTGCTAGGCAGTATGTTGCGGTAGAGGCTTGCAGTTTCAAATCCTAGTTGATCCCAACACTGATACACTCATACCCAAGACAATCCTGAAATGAATTGCTACTAGGACAGGAATCAAGAAGAACCCAGTGTGATGCCAAGTGTGCAATACAAGGTTGCTGCTAGGTTGTTATGTGTCGTCAAATTGGAATTGACTTATAGCGGCCCTAATAGTGAGATATTTAAGGAATGGTTTTACCAGTTCCGCCTACTAGGGAGTTTTATGGCTGAGCGGGGATTCAAACCATCATTCTATCCACTATACCACACTGGGTATCCCACCATTGAGATAGTATGAAATAATTTGGTGTGAAAATATACTTTTTAAGTTTATGCCTTAATGTTACGTGCTGTCAAGTTGATTCTGGCTTATGATGACCCTAAGAGGTTTCTGAGATATGTGAAATACTGAAGTAGTGGCTTACCATAGCCACCCTAACGAAGGGTTCATGACTGACTAGGGATTTGAACTCTGGTTCCCTGCATCCTAGTCTGTTCACTATATCTCACGGTTGATAGGTGCCTTTTGAAAACACATCCCCCCCCCCAAAAAGGAGAAAGAGCAGGAAATGATTTGCTTATTCATAGCAGTATCTTACTACTTCAGTGGCATTTTCTTTGACATGAAATACATTTTGCTTTGACTATTTTGCGTTTCTCTCTCTGGATCAGATACCACTATCTTTCTAGGAGTAGATATGCAGCTATTTTCACTGCTCCTTTGACCTCTGTGGGACTAGGAAAGGGCTGGAAACAGGAATTTGGAAACAGGAAGTCTCGAGCGTCTTAGCTCTGAAGTGTATTCTTTAAATACAAGAAGAAAAATAGCTGGAGTGATTTTGGGTTCTGTTTTCCACCCTAGTCTTCCAGGCCACTGCGAGGAGCCCATGTTTGCTAGCAGGGTTCAGCACCATGGGTGGCAGAGTCTAGGTGGACAGCTCCCTGCTTTTCTTTTTCTTGCCCAGCTCTGCACTTAAATGTCTCCAAAGAATGTCTTCACATATCTTCCCCTGTCCTCATAACTAAAGGAAGCCTTGTTTCAAGCAAGCAAGAGGGGGGACAATCACAAGGTAATTCATAGCCTTTTGGTCTCAAAAGCCAGGGTGTAAACATTCCACATCTTGTTACAGAGACAGTAAGAGGTTCAGCCTCACAAGAAGGGATAATCTCTGCTGGATACTGTATGTAACATCAATTTCTGGACAGTTTTTCTGCACCGTCCATGAAGAGGTTGCCCTTAGAGCCTGAGGAAGTGGATTTCATCCACGAAAGCTTGCTATTTGTTTTATTTTTAGTGGCCCAATAGAAGCTATCACATACTCTTGCGTTTGTCCAAGAAATAGCTATCACTGAGTTGCTGGACAAAAGACAGACCTAAATCTGACAATACTAAGAAATGTGAAGCCTTGCCTATTTCTTGAATTCCTAGTGTTTCCCTTTTCTTCAGGGCTTAATGTGCATATAAGTTCTAACAGTTTGCTACTGCTAGAGTGTGAGAGCTGGGGGTTATCTGAAAGCTGAGGAGTTAAACATTTATCTTTACTGTACAATTATACCAATCTGATACCACTTTAACTGTCAGGACTCATTCCCAAGAAATTTTGGAACTTATAGTTTGCTGAGGTGATTAGATTTTTTTTTTTTTTTTTGCCAAATATCTTTATCGTCTCTGAAGTGCAGTAGAGGAGGGGGAAAAGTGCAAAGACTCTTTCTTTTACACACTGATTATAAAAAGAGATAGATATCCAATCAGATGTTTGTGATTTTTAAAAGTCTGTGCAACAAGACAGCAATCATGTTATTTTATGCGGTTAACATAAGAATTGTTCTCACAAATGCAAAATCTCTAGTTGAAACCCACAGGAAAAAAAATCCATCCTTTTTTTTCCCAGTGGGGACAGAATGTTTATCATTTTTCACTTTCACACACAAGGACAATGTTTTATTGTCCCTAATTAAAACAATTCTTAATAAAACTACCTAGTGTCACTAATATGTCCGGGCAAATGAAAAAGTCTTAACCTTGAACTTAAATTTATCTAGGTACTTAACTGAAAGCAATGGACTCCTTGGCTAGCTATATATATTTAATTTGTAAATATCTTGTTATTCTTACTGCTTGAGTTCATTGCCAAAGGACACTTGAGGGAAGCTTTATAGAAGTTGGATGTAGTAGTGAGGTGCGGCTAGCTACACATGAGTAATGTGAAGGACATACTAGTAAAACAACATACCAACTTATTCCTCATTCTTTCTGTTGAAGTTTGTGAGACGTTTAGTCTCAAATGCTGGGGAAAAGCTACTTGAACACAAAAGCTTCTGTTAAGGCCTTAGAGCAGCATTTGCGGGCTGGGGTGCAGATTGCATCTTGGAGGGAGGGACTGCTGGGCTGTAGGAGTAGAGTAGACACAGAGGGGGGTTAACCCTCTCATCACCTGCTGTGTTTATGAAGGGAGTCTTTTATTTGAAGCTGCTGCTGTACATTTGAAAGAACCTGGTCCTATCTGGACCAATTTGAGACTTCTATCTTTCTCTCTGCCAGTATATCTCTTTCTGGCTCTGTTTGTCTGTCTCCTCCCCCTTTCTCTCTCACACACAAACACACAGACACAAACACACAAAGAGAGCAAATGCCAGTTTTTTTAAAAAAAGATTGCAGCTGGTGAGGGTTAACTCCACGCCTGCCCTGATTTGTCAAATCATCATTTCATTCCCCTCCCGCCTGCCACCATAGAATTAGTGTTTGAAATAAACTGCACATGTGCAGCCAGATAGTTAAAACAAGTGACAGTTATGTTATTCTGTTAGATAATCTAGTGATGGGAGGTTGTCTGTTAGAGATGTCTGCTTAAAGTAGTCTGTTAGATGCTGTCTATTAGGCGTCTGCTTATCTGTTACTCTGTCTGATCAGGAAGATAATATATCAGCATATGTCTGTCAAGCCCAAGGCTGTATATCAAAGCAAATGTTTCAAACACGGCTGATTTATTAAATATGTTTTATAGTAAATGTTCTTAAAGTTTTTTTTTCAATGTCCACATGAGTATTATTTCAATTGCTGACACGCACAAGGGGAGAATATCTTTCATACCATGTTTGTTCATGCTATGCGTAAACATCTGTATACAAACTGTCACATGCACATTTCAACAAGTAATTCACTAGTAGCCTCTGCAGAGAATTCAAAATGCTTTCCTAAACTACAAATCCCAGGAGTCTATAGGATGAAACTGCAGCATTTAAAGTGAAATCTGATGGCTGTAACTGTGTAGTCTGGATAACTGAGAGAAATACACTGTGCATTTATAAAAGATACATCTTTCTCTGTATTGGTCCCCCAACTTCAAAATGCTCTCTCAGGGGAGACATGATTGGTGATGACAGCTTTCTTTTTAGTGCCAAATTAAAACATTCTTGTATGCCCAGGCATTTCAAATTTGTAAATGGTAAATGTAAGCTCCATGATAATTTAATTTGCATTGGCTTTTTGCATGAGTCGTTTTAATTCCTCTTGTTATTACATTTGTATTGTATTTCTTTTTATAGTTTCTGTGCACTGCCTTAGTGGCATGCAATGAAGGATCATTTTAGAAACATCTTAAATAAACAAAATTGAACGTTTTCCTACAAAAGGAATAGTCCAGCACTTTGTGCTATTGTTACAGTTGGTATATATTTTTTCAGTTCTCTGGAGTGAAATGCACTGTTATTAGCAGTCTTATAACAAATTCCTCATAAAAGAAAAGACTGAGATTTAAACCAGCTTCAGCCAACCCCTGTTGCATGAATTGAGTTTTAGTGAAAAACTGTATTAGTTTTAACCATCTGTTTTTGAGGATAGTTCAAAGTAATTTGGATCAACAGTTCCGGAACAGAGATGTGCATGAAGCCCGATGAAGTGTTTTGTATGAAGTGCTCAGCGCTGCACCACAGGTGCCATGCTTTCCCTCCTTCCATCCCCAAGTCCAGATGGCCCACTCACTGGTCTTTGCATGCCGCTGGGATCCTTCTTCTCTGGCGACACGCCAATCTGGGCAGGAGCACGGACAACCTCTCCCTGCCTCCTCCAGCAGCCAACCGCTCATCAGCAGCCTTGGGGAATCCCTGTCCTGCCTCCTTGCCAGAGTGGCCAGCTGGCTGAGGAGGTGGGGATGGACTA